TTTCCCTATTATAAACTTTGTTTTAATAAACATACTTTTAAATCTCTGCTAAAATGCACATTTTAATATTTTTTATATCTTAATGGGTAAAATAAAGTATGCATCTATTGTTATTTTGATTAAATGTTTCTCATAAGAATTTTGTGGAGAATATTTTATGATACTAGGGATTACATGTACCATATTTACAAGTTAAAGAATAGCAATATAATGAATAACAGTATATCCACCACCAGCTTAAGAAAGAAAGGCTAACTTTCAATATTTCTTTTAAGGCTCATACATGCATGCTTCATTTCTGAGGTGGCAAAGTGGCATTTGTATCACGGGAATGTGAAAGCTGACAATCTTATGATTGTTTTTCCATCTGTCCCATACATTTAAATACTTGTAAAGAATGGATTTTATGTTTTCCAAACTTGGCTTGATTGGCTCATTTCAAAGTGGCTATATGGTCATTGTCTCTTCTACTCAACCATAAAATGACTCTATAAATGGTGATCATTTTAATAGTGACCTAAGATTAATCATCCCTTTATATTTTTTTAAATTGTAAAATACATATAAAATTTAACATTTTAGTTATTTTTAAGCATACATTGTTTACATTTTAGGTGTATAGTGGCATTAAGTACATTCACATTTTTTGCAACAAAATCACCACCATACATCTCCAGAACTTTTTTTGTCTTGTAAGACTGAAAATTTGTACCTATCAAAACATCAGCTCCTCATTTCCCCCTCCTCCCAGCCCCTGGAACCATCATTCTACTGCCTGTCTCTGTGAATTTCACTACTCTCAGTGCCTCACAGAAGTGGAATCATACAGCATTTGTCCTCTTGTGACTGGCTTATTTTATTGGCAGAATGTCCTCAAGGTTCATATATGTTGTAACGTGTCAGAATTTCCTTCATCTGTGATTTCTTACTTTTGCAGGTGTTTCAGTTTCCTTAGAGCCTTAACCTTACCTTAACAAAGTCTCCAATTTCTGTTTTTCTGAGGAGTGAAAGGAGTGCTCCATAAAAGCTTTGTAAAGTCTAGTACTTACTGATGTTCATAGCAGCATTATTTACAATAGCCAAAAGGTGGAAAAAATCCACATGTCCATCAACAAATGAATGAATAAAGACAATGTGGTATATTTATACAATGAAATGTTATCAGTCTTAAAAAGGATATTAACATGTGCTACAACATGGATGAACCTTAAAAAATTACATTAAATGAAATAAACCAGACACAAAAGGACCAATATTGTATGATTTCACTTATATGAGGTACCTACAATAATCAAATTCAGAGACAGAAAGAATAGTGGTTACTATGATCTCAGGGATTGCGGGGAGGATGGGGAGTTAATGTTTGATGGATACAGCATTTCAATTAGGGATGCTGAAGAGTTCTGGAGATGAGTGGTGATGACTGTAGAACATATGAATGTACTTAATGCCACTGAATTAAACACGTAAAAATGGTTAAGATAGTAAATTTTGTTACCTATTTCATCACAATTTTGAAAAATAAAAATCTTTACATACACAAAAAATACTTCATTTACATTATCTCTATAGAAATAACTTGACAGAACAATGATTTTAAAATATTTTTTGAATCTTTTACTGAGGTTACTGTAAGAATGCGATCTGAAGATAATTTCTACATCTTACGTTTATGAGAGTCACATAGTTCAGTTCATGACTATTAATGACAATAAACATTGTTTGTGAATGTCCAAGTGATAAATTCTCCCTTGACTTTAGTTCCAGGAAAACTTGCTTTCACAGTGAATTACTGCTTGCTTGCTTTATGAGAGAACAAGAAATCTACTTTTCTCCTTTGTCAGCAGCTGAGAGCCACCTTTCATGATGATTTATAGTGATTAGCTGGTCAAACCAGTATTTCCCTGGAGAATCATTAACCATCATTAAACAAATAAAATCCTGTTTCTACTCACTTTGAGCTCTGTGAGTAAAGCAGCTTAGTTACAATGTAGTGTCTGCAAATCAGTCTGCTGCCCTTTGTGACTTTAAACATGTTCCTCTGTACAAAATGATTAACTGTGTCTTGCCATCTTCTATCACACAGTTTCTTATTGTATTCTGCTTCTGGAAAAATGATTCTCATATCTTTGAGGTTCCTCCAAGTACTCTCCATTATGCATTTGATACATGCCATATGCCATGTTTTAAATAAGATCATCTCAACCATATCTCCCAAATTGGTTTAAAGATATCTGTTAAAGATAACATGTTTTCTAGTGGTGCAGTATTAGTCAAAACCCAAACTATTCATATGGACAGTGCTCTCCACACATACACAGCAGCCCTGGTGTTTTCATCACTAAGGTTCCAAATTTTGGCACCAACTTTTAACTATCTCTTTTTCTTCCCCCAAATATCCAATCAGCTGTCAAATTCTATAACTGCTGTGTTACAACTATTTTACATTTGAGCTTTTTCTAATCTCACACTCTCCCATCTTCCTTCTTCAGGCCTTTGTAGTTACCACTGCCTGGATGTCTTGTTCCTTCAGGTGGCTAAAACAAAATATCACAGACTGGGTGGCTTGTAAACAATAGAAATTTATTTCTCACAGTTCTGGAAGCTGGAAGGATTACATCTTGAAAATAAGATTGCATTTTAAAACCCAATTAGTAACATACTCTTTAACAAACAGACAATAACTCACTCCACCTTGGGAGCAAAGCAGGCAATCTGAAGTGATATGCTCCCAGAGCAGTAAATTTCTTCTAAATAACCAGAAGACTATTAAGAAACTTAATGTCTCTTCGAAGATAAGCATTTTGGGACCACTTAGCAGGTGTACATCCCTAGCCCTTTGTCTCTCAACTGCCTATAAAACCCCTAAACAGACCACCCCAGGGCTCTCTTGTCCGCTCCTGGCATGAGCCGGGAACTCTGTCCTCACGCAGTATCTCTAAATAAAAGCCTCTCACTTGCTGTCCTACCTTGAGTGTTTGTGAAGTTCATTCTTCGACTCCACAAACAAGAACCCTGGCATCAACAATTCACGAATTTTCATGTCATCCTTGCACAGGGTACATTCTAATCTCTGTATGGTTCCAATTTTAGCATATGTGCTGCTGAAGGGAGCACCTGAGTGTTTTTGAATAAACATTGCTGTTCTGAATAAGCATTTTTATACAAGTAACACTCTTGAAAAAAAATCCCTTTGAGCTTTGTTTCTTGGGATATGTTGCCAGTATTGGCTATGCCAATTTCAATTCATTAAATACTTTGAGTACCTTTTGAACACATGACACTGATATAAGCAGAAAATATAAAGAAACATAGTATAAGTGGCTAAGGAGCCATGGTTCTTTATCTTAGAAGCTTATGTAGGAGACAAATACACATGTAAATTTAACAAAAGATGAATATACCATTTGCTATGAGACAATTAGCTATAAAAGCCTACAGGCCGGTTAAAAATCATGAGAGATCACAACTTTGGAAAGAATCAGGAAAAGTTGAATTAAGGAGGTGGCATATAAAGAATAAATAGTATTTCTGAGACTTACCAAGATGAACCAAAGCATTGGTTGAGGACATGAAGAACATGTTGAGGACACTGAATACTTCAGTTTGGCTGGGCGAGTGTTATGCCTAGAGGAATAGTGGTAATTAAACCGGACCCTTGGTTTAAGCCATTTTACTCTATAAATGCTAAGAGTAAAGACAGATCTGGCAACAGCATAGGGAACCACTGGGACAGAGGAGAGGTGTGGCAGAGATTCCTGTTCGAAGGATATTGGAATAATCCAATATTATGGTTTGAATATTGTTAAGGTTGAAGGCACTAAGGAGAGGGGTGAGCATGTCAGACACTGATGACGTGACAAAGTCCCCGGCTGCTGCCACCTCCCCACCTGAAAAATGTGCCTTAGGCTAGCCAATCCTCTCGCCGCTGTAAATCTAAGCTCCGCCTCCCCCTACCTTCTTTAAAAACTCGCTGCCTGTCTACTTTCGCGCGACTTCCCCATCCTCCATTTCCATAGACTGGGGAACCTCGCCCCGGGGCATTAAAATTAACTACCTGGCCCTTTGTTGCCTCTCTTCGCCTGCTTATTTCGGCTGGAATTTATCTTACAAATATGTCCCCACAAAATTCATATGTTGACATCCGAATACCCAATGTGATAGTATTTAGAGGTAGGGTCTTAGGACTCTGCCCTCATGAAAGGGATTAGTGCCCTTATAGGAGAGACCCTAGAGAGATCCCTTGCCCCTTCCGCCTTGCGAGGGCACAGAAGTTAGCAGTCTGCAACAGTAAAAAAATGGTTAGATCATCTTCCTATGACAGTAACTACACTAGTTGGGGGTGAGGATTTAATAATGTGGGTAACTGTTGATTGTATATCAACTATATGTACTTCAGTAAAAAAAGATAAATTAAGGGCAGGACTGGAATCTAGTTCGGCCCATAGGACATTTAACATTTATTAATTGTAATATTATGTAACTAAGTGCATATGAAATACTGTACATCTGGGGAGAGGAAATCCCGGGGCAAAATACCTCTAAAAACCGAAATCAGTCAAAGGGAGAAATAAAGCTTAAAATCTGTTTATTGCTCACCAACTGCAGTCCCGAGCGGTCTTTCTCCTCTGCTCTGGAAGAAGCCAGCAAACCCGCCAGCCCCCTCCCCATTACCTCCCAGGGTCAGACACACCCTCGGTTGCCCAGGTAATTACCCATTGATAGAAGATGAACTTCTTTGCAACCCTGAGGAAGGATGCAAATGCACTAAAGCCATACTTCTTTCCATCTCTGAACAGTTATTGATACGCAGATGTACTAAAGCCAAGCGAGATATTCTGGAAATATTACAATTTTATCCTCAAGTACACATTTAAGAATAACTCGCAAAACATGTATTACCTCTATGGAAGCACGTTAATAGAAGGGGCTGAAGGAAGCCGCCTGTCACATTTCTACAACAATTTAAAAGGCGTCTTCCTACGCACTGATTCTCACAACAACCCTGTGAAGAACGCACGGTAGGTATTAGTAACTCGCTTTTACAGGTGAAAAAACCCACCCACCGAAGTCAGGAATGATTGACTAGAGCGGAACTAGGACACTAGCCTCCGCCTCCCGGACCAGGGCTCCTTCCCTGCCGGCTTCGGGCGTCTCAGCTTCTTCCTCAGCTGCATTGCACTGGCAATCCCGGGCCAGGGGCGTGGGCGGCGGGCGAGGACCGAGGGCTGCACACAGTGATATGCCGGAGGCCCAGTGACCATAGAGTCCGGGAAGTGCGGCCAGAGTAGCTCCCGGGGGCGCGGCGCCATCCTATCCCGGGACCGCGAGGTCAGCGCCAGGGCAGGCCGAATGAGCGGTGCGCTGGCCTTCAGGGTGGTCGCGGGGCTCGGGGCAGCGGCGCTGGTCGCTGTGCTCTTAGAGCGCTACAGCCTGGCCAGCCAGCCCTCGCCGCTGCTGCAGCCCCGTCGCCCCTGGAGCCCGCACCCCGCGCCGGGCGCCAGAGCCAGCAACATCTTCTGGGGGCTGCAGGTGACGAGAGGGAACCCCGGGATTGGGGGAGTGCAGAGTTGGCACCAGGCGGTGAGGCGTGGGCCGTTTCCGCGGGGACGCGATCTGCGCCTGTGCGGGCCCCAAACTCTGAACTGCGGTGTGTGCGCGCTCGCTTGTGTGTGGTGTGTGTCCGACCTTTCCCTGGGAGGATTTGCTCCTTGACTGCCGCGTTACCTTTTCCTTCCGCCTTCTGAGAGCCGCTGGGTTGGCGTGTCCGCGCAGCCTCCTGCTGACTCCGCTATCTCTGTTTAATACCTACTTTTGGCAGATATCCGACACGCACCTGAGCAGGTTTCGAGATCGAGGCAGAGCTGTAGACTTAGAGAAGTTCTGTTCTGAAACTATTGACATCATTCAACCATCTCTTGTCCTAGCCACAGGTAGGAGGATTGGCGTGCTGTCGTGTTGTCGTGTCCAGATGGTAGACAGCAGCCAGGGCTGCAGCTTTTCACTTGGGAGACATTGGGAACATTACAGCCAGGGCCCCAGGTGTGTCCTCCTTCTGTGGAAAAGATGTGACGTTATAATCCCCTTTGCCAAAGGATAACTGAGTCAAGATCCAAGCTAATGCCTTGTCATAGCAAGGTTTTGTCAAAGTGGCAGAAGCAAGGTTCACGATTCCCACGTTAGTGTTTGTCTACTGTATTTGTTTCTGTCTTTTTTGTTGTTGCAGGTCTGGAATTGAGAATTAGGGAAAGCCCTTTAACCACAAAAGTTACTGTTAAATTTTTTAAACGAACTTACACATTTTCTTTACATATTAATCATATTGTCAACTGCTTGAAGCTTCAAGTGACTCAGTACACTTGCTCTATCCCTTATGTGGACTGAACCCATCAGGACTGGTATATTAAGAACGGTAGGATTTGTTCATAGTCTTACTGAGAACCATGACCTGGGAGCAGCCCATCGGTGTGTTCTGGTAAACTGCTCTCAAGCCCCTTCGTTTGGAGACATCGTATCCTCTCTACAGCAAGAAATACGTGCAGAAAGGTTACAAGTATCAGTGTATCAAGCAGTGTGACACGGACATAATTATCCTAAAGGATCATGCCATACATATGCCGATGCTATATCTGTGGGTGTAAGGGGAGGCAAGGGTAAGGGTCTCAGGTGGATTATCTCATCTTCCTTTGGGGATGGAGAGGGCATATGGGACATTATCTTATTGATGCTGACCAGAGAATTCCTGACTGACTATATGTTGGGAAGATGTTGAAATTTCAATTAGGTTAGATATTAAGCCCCAGGTCGTTGACTTGGCCTAGCTGAAGTGACACCATGTTGGTTTCTTTTTTACACTTGGTACTTACGTGACTTGGGTTCTCTAGAATCTTCAGACTCCTAAACATTTGCTCCCAAACTATGTTGGAAGAGAAGCTAAAGGAACATCTACCCTGTCTACTGGGAGATTCATATCTCACCACCTTACTGAAACACTTTTCCAATATGATGGAGTTATCAATCCTCAATTTATGGGAAACCTCAGTTTCAAGTATCTGTCTAGTTTTCTAGAAATTTTAGTACTGTCCAAACTGTACCTTCCACATTGCTTCTTGCTATTAAAAATAATACTTGGTCAGATTACATATCCTGATTTGGGGTTTGGAAAATATGGTTGCCCTAGCTACCACGCACCTGCCCAGAGTGTTGGAATTTCTTACCAAGAGTTTTCATTTTGTCGTTCTCATGATGCATTTTATATTGCTCTCTTTAAGATACAGTTTTCACAGCCCATTTCTAATATCACAGGACGTTAAATAGGCACTTGCAAGTCCCTTGCTGACAAAATCTTGTAATTTTTATGGCTTCCTTTGGACATAAGTGGACTAGTAAGTGGTTATATTTATGTTAAACAAGTTGAGTACTTCAAGTATCTTTGTTCCTTCAGTCTGCACTAAAAAAAAAAGGAACCCCTGGGGTTTATTTTGCATTGTGATTCAATTCTTATGTGAATTTACAGGAGACCTGACCGATGCCAAAACAAAGGAAGAGTTTGGATCCAGACAGCAGGAGGTAGAATGGCAAACTTACCAGGGTATTCTGAAGAGGACGAGGGTCATGGAAAAAACCAAGTGGCTAGATGTCAAAGGAAATCACGGTAAGAATCTAGACCCACATATAGTTAAGATTTTCTTCCTTTAAGAGCCTAGCTGCTCCAGTTTAGATTGTAAAATTATAAAATGGGAACATTGTAACATAGGTTTAGATATACTGAAGGCCACAATTCTAAAATAGAACTATAATATGGGATTTTAGAACTTAAGATGTCAGTGTTAGCCTTTGAGGAGAAAGCTGGTATGATCCTTTCTTCTTTACCTGGAAGAAAAGCTTCTAGCAAAACCCATTTTGAAGGATGTTTTGAAAAATACACATTTAGCTAAGTAAAAGTAGCCAAGCCCATAAGTCTACATACTGCATGATTCCATTTATATGACATTCAAGGAAAAGTACAACTATATAGACAGAATAGATCGTGGTTGCCAGGGTTTGGCACTGGGGGAGAAGTTGACTACAAAGAGGCATCATGAGAAAATTTGGGGGAGTAATGGAACTGTTTCTGTATCTTGATTGTGGTGGTGTATATGTGACAATGCATTTGTCAAAACCCATAGAACTGTACAGCACAATGAATGAATTTTACTGTATACACATTAAAAAATTAAAATCACAAATAAACTCCCATATGCATAGGAAGAGAAATGGATAATCTCTCCCACTTTTTAGATGACCAATGTTGTGTTAGCAAAGAAATGAACTCTTCTCCAAAAGTGTCCTTGGTGGATTTGTTTTGTTGTTTATAAAGGTTGACTTTCTTATTGGTTGGTTAAGTACCTCATTTGTCTGCTTCATTTGATTATTTGTTGGAGATAAGTACCTAATTACATATTTTTTAAAACTATCATTTTAAACACCCAATTCTACCTGGTGAAATATACAGCTTTTGGTTCAATCAGAAAATGCTGTCTTTTCTTTATTTTTTATTTTATTTTATTAAGATATTATTGATATACACTCTTATGAAGGTTTCACATGAAAAAAACAATGTGGTTTCACCCATATTATCATGTCCCCCTCAACACCCCATTGCAGTTGCTGTCCATCAGGGTAGTAAGCTGCCACAGATTCACTATTTGCCTTCTCTGTGCTACACTGTCTTCCCCATGATCCCCCCCGACCTCCACACACCATGTATGTGCCAATCATAATACCCCTCAATCCCCTTCTCCCTCCCTCCCCACCTGACCTTCCCCACCCCTCCCCTTTGGTAACTGCTAGTCCCTTCTTGAAGTCTGTGAGTCTGTTGCTGTTTTGTTCCTTCAGTTTTGCTTCGTTGTTAATACTCCACAAATGAGGGAAATCATTTGGGTCTTATTTTTTTCCACCTGGCTATTTCACTGAGCAATAAATATCCTCCAGCTCCATCCATGTTGTTGCAAATGGTAGGATTTGTTTCTTTCTTATGGCTGTATATGTACCACATCTTCTTTATCCATTCATCTACTGATGGACACTTAGGTTGCTTCCATATCTGGGCTATTGTAAATAGTGCTGCAATAAACATAGGGGTGCATATGTCTTTTTGAATCTGAGAAATTATATTCTTTGGGTAAATTCTTAGGAGTGAAGTTCCCGGGTCAAATGGTATTTCTATTTTTAGTTTTTTGAGGAACCTCCATATTGCTTTCCACAATGGTTGAACTAGCTTACATTCCCACCAGCAGTGTAGGAGGGTTCCCCTTTCTCCGCATCCTTGCCAGCACAGAAAATGCCATCTTTATAAGCAGTTACTAAAAGCAGCTAGGAATTACAAATTGAAAATGGGATCTCTGGCCATACAGTTTTCTCTGGTATACAGACAGTCCCCAACTTAAGATTTTTCACTTTATAACAGTGCAAAAACTATAAGCATTCTGTAGAAACCATACTTCAGACATTATATTTTAATCTTTTCCTGGGCTAGCAATGTGCTGTATGATGCTCTCCCGTGGTGCTGGGCAGTGTCAGCGAGCCATAGCTCCCAGTCAGCTACATGATCACAGGGGTAAACAATTAACACACAACAGTTCTGTACTTTTACAACCATTTCTTTTTCACTCTCAGTACTCTATTCAATAAACTGCATGAGATATTCAATACTTTTTTATAAAATAGACTTTGTATTAAATGACTTTGCCCAACTGCCAGCCAATGTAAATGTTCTGACCACATTTAAGGTAGGCTGAGCTAAGCTATGCATTCAGTAGTTTAGTTGTATTGAATGCATTTTTGACTTAGAATATTTTCAATTTACAATGGGTTTATCAGGATGTAACCCCACTGTAGGTCAAGGAAGATCTGAATTTACATTTCTCTTTTTCCTGATCCTACTTAGTCATTTAGTCAAATTCTTTGACAAATAGCCAATATCTTTGTATATTCTAAAAAGTTTTCCAAGCCAAACTACTGACTTATTTCAAGTACTAAATATCAAACAGATTCTTGTGATTAAATAATTTTGATAGTCCTTTGGAGTTCATAATAATCTGACTTGTATAGTTATAAATGCTTATGGCATGTGTTTATATATGTTAACATTATGTTAAGATACAAGAGGAAACTAATTCATATTAATATTTAACTATAACAGAGTTCTCTTATTTAGCAAGAGGATTACATGCACAATTGTATTTACAGCTTTCTCTCTAAGGTTATTAGAAATGTAGTAGATTCCTGGAAGTTAAAGCTGATAAACAATTTTAACTGTCGCAATCAGGCAATCAGACTTTATGAAATCATTGTATTTCCAAATAAGTATACTATCCCATCCTTAACATTACCTCTAACAATTATATAACTCCATTCTTACTGAATCTATTTTAAGATTTAGGAAGAGATGGACTTTGACCCTCTGTTATGAAAGTGATCTGCTGGTTGAGAAACACTTGGCAAGGATCCATATGTTAGGTATAATCCAGTCCTTGCAAACTTCCAAATCACATGATTAAAAACAGTGGCAACAATGATCCAATCTTATAATTTCAAATCGATTTATTCAGAGTAGTGTATATTTCAAACTATTCATTATTCTCCAGTACTTGGTGCCTTAAAATGTTTCCAGATATCCTGAATTCTAGTAAGTTACAAAATTTTTTTAATTATCAACCTAATTAATTGATATTCTGCCATTTAAATTATTATTGAAAGAATTGTTGTTTTTCTTTAGTCATTAACATGTTTGCATTTTTCTTTTTAATATAGAAGATGTTTGCTCTTTTGTTTTCAATTAGATGCATTCAACATTCCAAGTCTGGAGAGTGTCGAGAATTATTACAGGTATTGTAGTGAACAGAAGACAGACTACAATGAGTTACAAGGAGGGTGCAGTCAATTCAATGAATGGGTGAAAACATTTTTAACAGATAAAATTTCTATATAAAGAACCTCTAGTAATTCAAAAAAGGAGGCTTTGTGTGTGTGACAGATTCAGTTCTTTTTTTGTTGTTTCCTATGGCTTTTTCTTTCCTTTAAATCTTTTTATTTCATAGACTTTAATGCCTTTTGTTGGCTAATGGTGCTTTTAATATTTGATGGACTTTTTTTTTTTTTTTGGTCATAGATGCAAAACAGAAGTCATTAATGTTTTAATTTTTTAATTTAGATATAATTGAAATACACTGATATTAGTTTCAGGTGTATAACATAATGATTTGATATTTATATATATTGTGAAATGATCACCATGAGAAGTCTAGTTAACATCTACCACCATATTTATAAAAAATTATTTTTCTTGTGATGAAAACTTTTAAAATCTACTCTTTAGCAACTTTCAGATATACAGTACAGTATTATTAACTGTAGTCACCATACCATATATCAGAAGTCATTTAGATCAGGGCTTGTCAACCAGAGTACTGTGGATTTTAGGCATGCTGAGATACTGATTTTCCCAGATACTGGGGTGTCTGAAGATCCTAGTTGGTCACCCCTGGCTATTTTGCCCTTTCATCCCAGTATGTCATACAAATATTAAAATTTTCCTTATGTGCCATGACTATGAAAAAGGCTGTGGAATGTGAAAGGATCTTTGAATTAGAAAATGAATTCTATAGTTTCAGTGTATTGGGATTCTTTTGGTTGTAATTTCATTTTTAGTTTCAGGGTATTTCAAAGCTGTGTTCTGCATTGTCAATCAATCCAGTATCAAGTATTTATTGAGAGCCCATCATGAATTGGATAGTTTGAGATGCAAGAGCTAATATTAAAAAATATGGCTCTACCTTCAAGGAGGTCTGGGTAAGGGAAATAAAAATTCTTTAGGAAACAATTAGAAAAGAACATGAAGAATAGCTAATGAAATGTTAGATTATTTGGTACATGTGATAATCACTGTAAGAAATCAAGAAAGGCAGAGATCAGCCTGGGGTGGATGAAGGGAAGACTTTTTTATTTATATGTGTATTAAGATACAATTGACGTACAACATTGTATAAGTTTAAGATGTACAGAATGTTCATGTGATACATTTATGTATCACAGTATGATTACCACCATAGTATTAGTTAATACCTCTATCATTGTCTCATAATTACCATTTCAGTTTTTATGGTGAGACCAATTAAGATCTAGACTCTTAGCAACTTTGAAGTTTATAATACCATATTGCCAGCTATAATTACAATGCTGTGCAGTTGTGCATTAGATCTCCAGAACTCCTCAGTTACTAGTTTCAGGTTAAAGAAGACTTTATAAAAGAAGTGAAAATTGCATCCAGTCTTAAAAGATGAGTAACATTTGGGGAAGTAAGAGGTTCTGAGGGGTATATTTTAGGCAAAAACCCTGAAACCTTTTAAAAACCTTTAAAAGCTAGAATGAACTTTTGGGGGTAGGGAGGAAATTGGTATCACCAGAGTAAAGGCTCACATTGAGGACCGGTGTCACACTGTAGGTAGTTTAGGGCCTTGTAATATATGGAGGTCTTAAGTGACAAGCACATTTCAATGTGATGGGTAGTAGTTCATAATCCAGCATAGGTTCATTCCTATGACAAGTAACATGAAAATGGTATTTGATAAAGGGCAGTTGCACAACAAAAAAAAAAACAGGGATAAAAAGGAAAAACGAAGGGGAGATTGGAGTTAATGTACACTAAAAAAGAGAGTCCTGTAATATTCCAGGAAGGGCCCTGAAATGAAGTGGACAGAGTTCATGGATACAGGGATAGTGACATCAATTTGAGGATGATAGCTGAAAAAGCGCTGTTTAACTAACATTAGAATTAGAGTTACCATAACTTGAAAGGGGAGGTAGTCCTCTTGTTAACATGAGAAAGGAAAAGGATGAAAATGCAAATCTTTCATTTTCTATTATCTGTTTATATTTTTGATGTGACTATGGGAATGGAGTTAAACATTTTCAAAAAAGAATTAACAGGACTTAGGGTTTGACTAGTTATCGGGAAAGTAAACTTTACTAATCACTTTAAAGTTTCTTACTTTTATGTTTGTTTCTAACCACCTAAACTTTATCTGAATTTAGTAAATGGCATTTTGCTAGAGATAGAAATGTATCAGAAATGTCAACCTGAAGGAAAAAAATCTTGAAGTCAAATCTTAAGAAAGCCCCAGAGAATGCCAGAATCCAGAATTTTTAAAATTTTATTAATTATCATATATTTTAACCTCTGCTTTGAATAGTTAGATTTTGATTTATTTTTAAATAGCTGGATTTTAAAGTGTCACAAATGTAGGAAACAACATATGCGAGATTATAAGATTCTGAAGAATAACTCTGAAAGCAAATTAAGCAGGAAAAATATAAATAAAAATTTTAATGAGGAAAAAACCCTGAAATAGAAATTTAAAAAATACCAATAGGTGAGGCAGTAGAACTAATTGATTATTAATTGCAATACCTATGATAGTAAATTTATGATATATTTGATGGTTACTGTGCTTAATTATAGCTCCTTAATAGCACACTAAGTTTCAGACATTTGGTTATATTTTCTCATATATGCTTTTTGGTAAAACATCATGTAAGACACATAAGATATTTTCTTATAATGTTCTAACATTTGAATAATATAGGCATGCCTCCATTATAATCTTTAGTTCACATTTATTCTACAAATACTCAATGAGCACTACTCTGTGTCCTGTTTACCCATCCTTTTCCCCTGCTCTTCACCCTCCAACTTTATGAACACCTAAACACTGTTCATACTCAAGGTAGTGAGGACTTGTATTACTGGATGTGTACCCTGTGTATGTTAGTAATATATTTTTAGGAACTGAAAAAGATATGTTGACCTAGACCTAACAAACATTCTTCTCCTGACTTGATGACTTTATCTCTGCAAGGCTTTGTGAGTTAAGCCTCTGTAGTCCTGTTTAAAGAAGTAAACATCTTTTGTATCTCATTACACCAAGAATTCTGCTAGATACTGAGTAGGCCTTCACTAAAATTTTTAATGACTGATAGGTACCATTTCACAGGATTCTGATTGCTCTCTTAAACCATTAGTGTTTAATGCTTAATGTTTAGTGGACTGCCTGAAATAGCTGTCTACTTCTCTGCTTTGCTTGGTAACACCGTGTTTGGTTCATGAGGAATTAGTTTGCCTGAGTCTTTGGGGACAATGGGAGGAAATCTTTAAAATTTCTTTTAATCAATTTATCTCCCTGGATCTAGCTTACTGTATTTCTCTGTCAGATCAGGAAATCTCCTTTACAAAGAGGCAAAATACAGTGTGATATTAAGGAACAAATTTAAACTCATTCTGTCTTTTTATGATTGCACTAAACTTTCCTGTCTTGTATTTTCTAGGAAATATTCTGCCGTACATAGGGATGGCTCTTACCATTACATCCACAGTACTCCCTTTGGCAACTATTCTTTCATCTCTTTGGATGCCACCCAAAATCCAGGGCCTAAGAGACCCTATAATTTCTTTGGAATTTTAGATGAGGTACAGTAAAAATCTCACCTCCCTTTGTAGCTGACCTATTTTATTTTTTCTCAGTTACATGTGGCTGGCTCACTTAAAGTTTTCCTAGGTGAACAAGTTCTTATCTAGAAATGCTTGAGAGAATATTTTCTGTGGTTACAGGTATGGATAGAAGACATTATTGGCTAGCTACTTCAGCACTATTAATTGCTTTCCCTGTTCTTGTGCCAGAATCTGGGAAAGAAGTACCTCACATTTTATATTTATTCAGTAAACATGTACTACATATATACTAAGTTCAGCACTTTGCATGGTACAGCGCATACAGCCTTGAATACTACATGGTGTATTCCTAAATTCCCAGTTTCCATTTCTAACTAAAGGTCTATGTATTTTTTTATAAGTGAAGAGTAAGCATTGCAATAAGTTTCTTTGAAAGCATTTTTGTACACTAGGTGAAAACCGTTGTTCGAGTAAAACTGGCAAGTCACAGTCAGTTTCCTAGATTAGTTTTGTTCTAGAATTTTTACATAAATGATATCATAACAGTATGTACTCTTATGTCTGGCTTCTTTTGCTCAGTGTAATGTTTCTGAGATTCGCCCATGTGTGTATTGATAGTTCTTTCCTGTTTATTGATAATTATTATTCTGTTATATGGATATATTGCAATGTGTTGATTGTTTCCAGTTTGGAGATACTATGAGAAGAGCTGTTATGAATATTCAGGTACAAGGCTTTCTGTGGACATGAACATCTTGTTATAGAAGTTCAGGTTCAATATCCTTATTAATTATAATGTATATACAGAGCTGAAAAGATTAGTAGTTCTTTATTTCTATACAGAAATTTACAAATAAGGAAATTTATGTACTTTAAAGATTATTCTTTATTTCTCAGTTTCCTTATCCATCAAATGGGGATGATATCTGTCTTCACAATTATTTTTAAGATCAAATAAATTATAATATATGTGAAGACAGTTCAGAACTTACAGAGGTCCACAGAAGTCATTAGTGGGGTTTAATCCCTAGATGTAACACTATTATAAAGCTTCAGGGGAGTTGTTTAATCTGTTGGCATTGTATTTCAGCCTGAATGCTAATTAAAGATCCTTCTCTTTTTGCCCATTTCAGAAACGGATGGAGGAGCTTTTATTACTGGCCAAGGAAAGTAACCAGAGTAATCATAGTATTTGGTTTGGACATTTTCCAACATCCACTATCCTTTCTCCATCACCAGGAATTCGGTCAATAATGAGGTGAGGCAGGCTTCGGAAATCAAAATTAATTGCTTTAAATTCTTTTATGTTGCTTAACCTGTCTAGCTTTCCTGAAGAGTTATTTTTATTAGTTCAGCATCACAAGTTATCTTTATTCATTCATTCCATTTACTTTTCATTGGTTAGTTCAGCTACAGCTTACTTGTGTGGGCACCTCCATACACTCGGTGGACTGATGCCTGTTTTGCACACTCGTCACTTTGAAGGCACTTTGGAACTTGAGGTGGGAGATTGGAAGCATAACAGAAGGTAAGGGATATACCCCCAAAAATAAAACTTATAAATGTAAGTTTTGCTAAATCAATGATAATTTTCTTATTGCTATCATGGGTGATCTGAGTTGAGGAAGATCTTGTGATATCTCTGTTTTTAAAGTAATATATGTATCCAGTGATCTTTTTTATTATGCAAAATTCTTGTTTTAACAGTATGTTTGCCATCAGTATGTTACATGGGATTTTCAAGATGTATCCATTAGGATATAGTTCTCAAACTCTAGTGTGCACAAGAATTACAGAGGAGCTTATTAAAAATAAAAATTTCCAGGCCATACTTCTAGAGATTTTGACTGTGTTGGTCTGAATAAGGACCAAAGAAAGTACATTTTTTAAAAGTCCACCAAGTGTTCTATGGGCCACAGTTAGAAAAAAACTGGAAATGTGTCACTTTTTCCCCTGAATTTTATACCTACATTTCTAGTTACTGCTCCAAGATATTAGTGATTTAAGTTCTTCAAATAGATGATAGTTGGATTTATTAAGGTTAAGGTCTCTTCAAAAGAAAACAACTTATTTATCAAAAGCATACAATATAATTATATATATATAGAGAGAGAGAGAGAGAGAAGAACTAAATATATCTTTGAGAATAAGTACAGTAGTTTAAATATAGATGAATATCATCTCATTGTTTAACTATCATCAATTGCTATTTAATTTATTCAAACTCAGTCCTGAAGACATTAAGCACTCAATAAATATTTTTTAGATGAATATATTATCTATTTTTAACTACTTCCAATTATTAAAAAACAGCTTTACATCTTGGAAGGTACTTACTAATTTCAGTTGGCTTCTTTAGAATGTGTATAAGAGCTATGCTTGAAGCCTGTAATTAGTTGGTAACTACAGTAACTCAGTTACTTTGAGCTAAGACCTGTTTATTCATGACTGAGGCTATGAGCCAGGCTGGGATTGCCTTTTACCAGATAGCCTTCCTCACCCTTGATAACCTCTTTATTTCTTATAAATGCTACAGGTAAAAGTTAAATGATGTTATGAAATCATTTCCTTTTTTTCTCTTTCCACCTGCTCTCCTGTGTTCTACCCTGGGGTTTTCCTGAAGTTTATTGAAAGGATCTAATCTTTACTTGCCCTTATAAACATTTAAGTTGTATTAGTACAATAGAAGAGATTTTAAAAATTTAATAAATTAGTAATAGTAGGTTAGGCTTTGTTGTGGATACAAATAAATCTAGAAATACCGGTGGCTTAACACAGTAGACGTTCTTTTTTCTTCATTTATGTATATGCCGTATGAGTCAAAGCAACTGTCTTCTACAGGGTGACTCAGGATCCAGACTTCCTCCATCCTATAATGCCACTATTTCCACAGCTCATTTCCAGGGCAGGGAAGAGAGCATGGAGAACTCATACTCACTCCTAAGTGTTTTGGACCAGAAGTGTGATACATGTCACTTCTGTTCACAGCCCATTGGCCAGAACTAGTCACATGGCCCCAGCCTAATACCAGGGAAACTGGGAAATGCAAGGGAGCATGTGGAGTATTTGGTGGGCACTATTGTTTCTGCCATAGTTAATCATTTCTCTTCTCAGTTCTGAAAGCTAGAGAATACAAAACTTTGGTTATTCTTTAGTGAATATTTATGAAATTGCATTTAGGAAATCAAAACAATGAACTTTCAAAAGTATACAATTACAAAGGTTTAGAAGACGAATGAAAGGTTTCTGTGTTTATTTTAATATTTTATGGAGCATTGTTGATGGAATGAAGGATGTCAGGTACTAGGCTTATGACGAATGCCTTAGGTTCAAAATTGTCTTAAAGCATAGAAATCAAATGAATTAATTCAACAAGCATTTATTTAAAAATGAAAAGTGTGTGCTATGTACCAGACATTGTTCTAGGGCACAGTTAATTAATTTATTGCTTCAGCAGTCAGATCCCAGTTGTGACAAATGTGAAGTGTGAAGAGACAAGGCAAGGGAAGAAGGACAAAGGAACAATGTTATTTACTCTGCATTCAAATTCATGACCTCAGAAAATACAGTTATATACTTTTACATGTGTTCTGTGTGTAACTTTCATGCCCACTTACAAGATGAAGTGACTAAGTTACCTTACTGTCCTTTGGACTCTAGGTACCGGATTTTTGCTTTTGATCACGACCTCTTTAGCTTTGCAGATTTGGCCTTTGATGAGTGGCCTGTGGTTCTCATCACCAATCCTAAGTCACTTCTCTATAGTTCTGCTAAACATGAACCACTAGAAAGACTCCTTCACTCAACACACATCAGGTATGTAGCAGTTTTTCCAAATTTTCTTTCAGTTTGATATTGATGGAGAATAAGTCATTGTGACTTCATTCCCATGTGGAAGCTATGAGATATCCCACTTCAGTTTTCTCAACAATCCAAACATTATATACAGATAAGTTGCTTACTGTTCCATTCCCAGTTAAAAACATGTAATTTTTTAAGCTGAAATTTTAAAAATCATCCAGAAACCCATATTCCTACCATTATTATTTTTGTATATTTTATGCCTGCCTTTTTATTTTTTTAATTAAGGTATCATTGATACACAATCTTACAAAGGTTTCACATGAACAACCTTGTGGTTTCAACATTCACGCATTTATCAAGTCCCCCCGCCACCCCATTGCAGTCACTGTCCATCAGTGTAGTAAGATGCCGCAGTCACTACTTATCTTCTGCATGGTGTACTGCCTTCCCCGAGACCCCTCTGCATTATGTGTGCTTATCATAATGCCCCTTAATCCCCTTCTCCTTCCCTCCCACTCACCCTCCCCAACCCCTTCCCTTTGGTAACGGCTAGTCCCTTTGTGGAGTCTGTGAGTCTGTTGATATTTTGTTCCTTCAGTTTTGCTTTGTTGTTATGCTCCACAAATGAGTGAAATCATTTCCTGCCTTTTTATTTGCATGTTTTTACACTGCTATAATCATAGTGTACGTATTCTTTTGTATCCTACTTAGAGAAGTTTCTATTATATATCAGAAATATTTTTTTCATTTTGCTATACAGCCTTCCAAAAAAGCAAAGGCTATATAAATCTTATGGAATTGAAAATTCAGTTGGCATGTGCATTTGACAATGTAAATTAAAGAGACTTTCAACATTTTTTCAAATATAAGGGCATTCTTTTTAATATGTATGCTCTTAAATTTTATTTTGAAGAGTGATACAACATAACAACCTTTGGAAAATAGGGTAATGGGATTGTATGTGTATTTTGGCCTCACCCCCAAATAGAACTAGTATTAACAGTTCTGAATTTTGTTTCTCTGGCATTCTCTTTTAGGCATATTTTTCATACTTGGAGTCATAGGGAACAATCTTTTCTAATTCCTACCCTTTTTTCTCAACAGAAAGAATATAGCACAATTTATTTAACCATTTGCCTATCTTATTGGTGAACTTTTAGGTTTTTCTCTTAATTTTGCAATGAGCATCTGATGCAGGAGCTTCTTCATTCATTTGAATAATTCCTGTAGGTAGAGTTCTAGAATGGGATTCTAGGTGAAAGAGTTTGAATTCCCATATGGCTGTTGATAAAGATTGTACAAATACTGTTCTTTGTAACTAAAATCATTATTTTAAAAAAAAAGTGTGGTAAAATATACATAACATAAAAGTTAACCATTTTAACCAGTTTTAGGTATGCTGTTGTTCAGTAGCATTAAGTATGTTCATATTGTTGTGCAATCATCACCAGAACTTTGATCTTCCCAAAGTGAAACACTGTACCCGTCCAATATTAGCCACCCTTCTCCCCTCCCTCCAGCCCCTGACAGCTACCATTCTACTGTCTCTAAGACTGACTGCTCTAGGTACCTCACATAAAGGGGATCATACAGTGTTTATCCTTTTGTGATTGGTTTCTTTCATTTAGCATAATGTCCTCAGGTTTACCCATATTGTAGAATGCGTCAAAATTTCCTTCCTTTTAAGACTGAATAATATTCATTTTATGTGTATACCACATTTCATTTATCTATTCATCCACTGATTGACATTTTTCTTGTACCTTTTGGCAACTGTGAATAATGCAGCTCTGAACATGGGTGTATAAATATTATCCACATCCCTGCTTTCAATTCTTTTGGGTGTATATCTAGAAGTGGAATTGCTGTATCATATGGTAATTCTAAGTTTAATCTTTTGAGGAATTGCCATACTGTTTTCCATAGCAGCAGTACCATTTTACATTCCCACCAGCAGTACATAACGTACCCAATTACTTTTTTTTTTATCATTAATCTATAATTACATGAGGAACATTATGTTTACTAGGCTCTCCTCTTCACCAAGTCCCCCCCACAAACCCCATTACAGTCACTGTCCATCAGCGTAGCAAGATGTTGTAGAATCACTACTTCTTTCCCTGTGTTGCACAGCCCTCCCCTTTCCCCCACCCCCAACATTATACATGCTAATCATAACACCCCCTTTCTTCTTCCCCACCCTTATCCCTCCCTACCCTCCCATTCTCCCCAGTCCCTTTCCCTTTGGTAACTGTTAGGCCCTTCTTGGGTTCTGTGATTCTGCTGCTGTTTTGTTCCTTCAGTTATTCCTTTGTTCTTACATTCCACATATGAGTGAAATCATTTGGTACTTCTCTTTCTCCACCTGGCTTATTTCACTGAGCACAATACCCTCTAGCTACATCCATGTTGTTGCAAATGATAGGATTTGTTTTCTTCTTATGGCTGAGTAATATTCCATTGTGTATATGTACCTTATCTTCTTTATCCATTCATCTA